GAAAGAAAGAAAGAAATTAGTATCCATTGCAAGTGAGGCCTGAAAAAAAAAATCTTTGGTTCCTAGCAGGTGGTCAGGATTGCTTTTGTGTGTGAGTAGCTATGGAAAGAGGTTTTGGTATCCTTAGGATTTCCAGGGAATGGTGGGCCTCAGCCTTCAATTCTAAGAGGGCGGGACCAGTTCGGAGTAATAGGGGATATGGCAGGTTGAGATTCTGAGCTGGCTGGGTTAGAATCATTGGGGCCTCCCAGTTCTGATTGGGTGGATCTGGAGCCTTCCAAGTTTGTCTCGAGTGGGAAGGAATGGACGTGTTCTACCCCCTCTAAGCACCAGTACCCCGCCTCTCCGGCAGGACCGTCTGTATTTTGTGATGGAGTATGTCACCGGGGGCGACCTGATGTACCACATCCAGCAATTGGGCAAGTTTAAGGAGCCCCATGCAGCGTGAGTCTCAGCTGAGAGAGGAGGGTTGGGGCGAGGGGGACCCCAGCCTTTGAGCTTCTAACTCCCACCTCCTTCTCTAGGTTCTATGCAGCAGAAATCGCCATCGGCCTCTTCTTCCTTCACAATCAGGGCATCATCTACCGGTGAGCAGTCTGGGCCTTTCAGTGGAGGCAGTCAGGCCCCTAGAGGGAAAGGGATCAAACTTACAGCTCTAGGGGCTCCTGGCTGGCTCAGTGCATAGAGCATGCGACTCTTGATCTCAGCATCCTGAGTTCAAGTCCCACGTTGGGCCTAGAGCTTACTTGAAAAACAAAACAAAGGGGTGCCTGGGTGGCTCATTCGGTTGAACATCTGACTCTTGATTTCGACTCAGGTCATGATCCCAGGGTTGTGGGATTGAGCCCTGAATTGGGCTCTGCGTTGATCATGGAGCCTGCTTGGGATTCTTTCTTTCTCTCTGCCTCTCTTCTGTGCTCACGCATGTGCGTGCTCTCTCTCTAAAATAAACAAAAACAAAACAAAGATCAAAACCTTGTAACTCCAGCCCATTGAACGCTACCCTTCCTTCAATGCCTATCCATCCAACCCCCTACCCCCAGGGACCTGAAATTAGACAACGTGATGCTGGATGCTGAAGGACACATCAAAATCACTGACTTTGGCATGTGTAAGGAGAACGTCTTCCCTGGGACCACCACCCGCACCTTCTGTGGGACCCCAGACTACATAGCCCCTGAGGTAACCCTCCCTTGGCTGTCCTTGGTGCTACACAAGTTCACCGAGTGGGTATGGCCAGTTGTCTAACATTCAGAATGTCGGGGGGCTGACCCTGGGGTCTTTTTTTTTTTTAATGTTTATTTTTGAGAGACAGAGAGAGAGAGAGAGAGAGAAGAGTGAGAGGGCGAGTGGAGGAGGGGCAGAGAAAGAGGGAGACACAGAATTGGAAGTAGGCTCCAGGCTCTGAACTGTCAGCATAGAACCTGACTCAGGGCTCTAACTTACAAACCATGGGATCATGACCTGAGCCGAAATCAGCTGCTTAACCAACTAAGCCACCCAGGTGCCCCCTGACCCTGGGGTCTTTGCATGAGTCATGGGTGATCTAACAGCAAACAGAGCAGAAAGGCCTGTGTGTCAGCATTCCAAGTGGGCAGAGCTGGGTGTCTAAACAGGCTAAGTGGGCACAGAGTTGGGTGAGTGTTCTAAAAGAGTGGAACCCTCTCTACTGGTAACAATTCTCAGACAATAGCACCTGTTACAGGACTATTCTAAGAAGGTGTACTCTTGAGTGGGTGGGGCCTGTGTCTCTCCACCACCCGCCCCCCCCAGCCCTAAGCATTTCCTGAATATTTCAGGTGGGTGGAATATACGCTAACTTTTTGTTAAAGGGGTGGAGCTAATGATCTGACTGTATGTAAGTAGATAGAGTGTCCTGAGTTTTCTCAGTGGAAGGAGGAAGTGTCATCCTTAATCTTTCTGGGTGATTCAATGCTAATGCCCAAATAATGTCAATGGTTTCAAAACATGGCTGGGAATCAGAATCACCCGTGGAGATTTTGAAATATACACACATATTACTGACTCTCACTCTGGTCTATTGAGGCTGGAATTCTTTAGGGCTAGGGAACAGCCCCCTAGGTGAATCTTAAATGCATCCAGATTTAAAAATCTCTGGTGTCTGAAAATTAGCCCTCATGCACCTGTTATTGTAAGGAGAGGGTCTAGTTACCAGAATATTTTGGCTGGGTGGAACTTTTGACTTGGTCCTTAGATAATCTTCATATTTGGAACCAAAGGAACATTCTAAGTAGGAAAATTTTGTTTCTGAATTTTCCAAAAAGATGGAACTGAAGTGTTCTGAGTGGGAAGAGTTTGTGTTGACAACACTTAGTGTGGGTAGGGTTCTCTGGGGGTGAGGCTAGAGGGGGTCTTAGGCTTCTTAAAGCACAAACCATGATACCTTGCCTTCCATCCTCTCTCACCAGATCATTGCCTACCAACCCTATGGAAAGTCTGTTGATTGGTGGTCCTTTGGGGTTCTGTTGTATGAGATGTTGGCAGGACAGGTAAGGGAAGCTGGGGACAGGCTGGCCTGCCTAAAGGCAACACAGCGGGGGATGCTACCTGTTACAAGGCCTTTATCTTAAAGGAGCAGGGTAGGAAGTGATGTCTGTCATCTAAGGAGGGGTGCTAAGCAGTTGGGAATATCACGCCTGGATAGCGCTGTCCTTGGTCCTGAAGCATTATTTTCCCATAGGCCTGGGGTTCTTTAAATTCGTTGTTGTTGTTGTTGTTGTTGTTGTTGTTTTAAATCTTTATTTTTGAGGGAGAGAGAGACAGAGTGCAAGCAGGGGAGGAACAGAGAGAAAGACACAGAATCCAAAGCAGGCTCCAGGCTCTGAGCTGTCAGCATAGAGCCCAACAGGGGACTCGAACCCACGAACTGTGAGATTATGACCTAAGCCAAAGTCTGATGCTTAACCGACTAAGCCACCCAGGCACCCCAGGCCTGGGGTTCTTTAAACGTTTTTTGTTGTTTTTTTTTGTGTGTTTTTTTTTGGTGACAAGGACTCCATCTCAGAACAACGTGTTTAATTTTTTTTTAATGTTTATTTATTTTTGAGAGAGAGAAACAGAGCACGAGTGGGGGAGGGGCAGACAGCAAGGGAGACATAAAATCTGAAGCAGGGGCTTTGAACTCACGAACCGTGAGATTATGACCTGAGCCAAAGTTGGATGCTCAATTGACTGAGCCACCCAGGCACCCCAGAATAATGTGTTTAAATCTATGAAATAAAATAATAGGATTACAAAGGAAATCAATCATATTGAAATATGGTTATCAAGACTTTAAAATTTTGATTTAACTTAGTTCAGCCAACTAAATACATTCAATTTAAATGTATACAGTTGCCTAAATATTACACATAGGGATGTGGATGTATATGTGATTTCCTAGTCATGAATTAAATAGTGATATCTCATGGTGATGGGAAGTAAATAGGCAAGTCTACCAGTAATCTTGAAGTTGAGATGACTAATATTTTGAGATATCTGCAACTCTAATGTGATAAGAAATTATCTGTGATTCCTGTTGGTGATGAAGTCATAAGTACTTCATAACTGTTTGTGGTTTTTGCCCACCATTCATAACTGAAGGGAATGAGAAATTGCAGTTAGTGATTTTTAAAAATAAAGATAAGCTTTTTTTCCTATTCAAGCTCACGGGCCCCTTCAGTTGCACAAACAGACTTCCTAGACCCCACATTAAGAATCCTTGCCTTGCTTTTGTGTCTCCTAATTCCAGAAGACTGGAGGCCACTCGTCCAACCAGGAGAATGTTTTTACAGTTTTCCTGCACTTTTTCCTCTCTTCTATTTAAATGACATATTGTCTAATTAACACCCTGCTGATTTTGCATAGCAGAGAAAGACAGAACAGCAAAGAGGTGCAGAGAGCTGAGATAGGAAACAGGGTCCATTTGAGATAGGAAACAAGAGTCTGAGAGGAAGGGAGAGAATGCTATGGTGGTTTCGTCAAAATTTTCCCCAGGATGTTGGAGGGGGGTGTTCATGTTCACGGTGGGTGCTGAGGGTTTGCAAGGTGGGGAAAGGCAGTCTGTCAAGTCCTGACACATTCTCCTCTCTCTTTCCTCAGCCCCCTTTCGATGGGGAGGATGAGGAAGAGCTGTTTCAGGCTATCATGGAACAAACCGTCACTTACCCCAAGTCGCTTTCCCGGGAAGCTGTGGCCATCTGCAAGGGGGTAAGAACTCCCTGACCCCCAGATTCTCCACACAACCCATTCGCCCCACCGCCACCATCCAGGGTTGCCCGGGCAGTGTCCCTGTGCGCATTAGAAAAGTATAATACAGAGATTTTGTTAGAACATTAATTACTGACTGCCGTGCTGTCACCTCCTGTCCCATGATGGCCTCTGTCTCCTTCTCTGCTGCACCCACCCCTCAGCTCACTGCAGGGAGTGCTGGAAGGCCAGGGCCTGCCTCTGCGAGGGGGTGGATCAGGTCAACCTAACTCCTGCCACTTTCCCTCCGGGGATCTTGGGCAAGCCACCGACACTCTGGGAGCCTGTCTCCTCTCTTGGGGTTATGGAGCTAATGCAGGATAAGGAGCCTAGCCTATGGCAGCTTTTCCAAGAACATTAGCACACTTGTGTTTCTGGCTCCTGTCTCCATTCTCTCTGACTCTCACTCTCTGGGTTCTGTCTCCTATCTCTGCCTCCATCTACGTTTGATGGGGCCTCCTGTGTCACTACCATTTCTCTGTGTCCCTTGGGCTCTCTGTCAACCCCTTGCATCTGTGTCCCCCTCTCTCTGGGCATCTGTTACCCACTTACCCCCGACTGCCACACACACACACACACACACACTGGGTCCTTCTCTCTCTGGAACTCTCCTCCTCTCTGAGTCTCTGCCTTCATATTGTGTCTTTATCCTCTCTGGGGTTTTGTCTCGTGGATCTCCACCCTTCTCTCTTTCTGCATATCTGC